ATGGCGGTTAGGTTTGGCAGGGATTGCAAGCCATTAGCGGGTATTTCCGTTAGCCGTGTATTAGACATCTCTAGGCTTTCCAACCCTTTTAATGTATTAATAGCTGCGAACACATTATAATCACTCGTATTGTCGTTGACGTAAATGATAGGCGTTTTCGTAATACATAGCTCTTTGACCGTTAGGTGGGTGCCGTTGAATGCCTGGCTGTGTATACGACTCAGACTACTCGCCCCATCGATGATTATAATGTCAAACTGTATGTCCGCGAAAGCATTGGCCGGTAACTCATCGATGAGCTCGGATTTGAGTTTCAGATATTCAAAGTGTTTGACTTTTCCGTGGCTTATGTTTCGGAAATAATCGCTTATTTCTAGTCCTGTTCCGTCGCATTCAATCCATCTATCAACCCTAAGTTGTGTACAAATAGTTTCATTTATTGTCGGTTTTTTAATTATATAACAATATGTATGTATTAATATGCAGTCAGTAGAAAATAACATATATTCAATAACAACAATAATATACCTGTCAGTTTGCAATTAATCGCTTTCTAAAGATTATATGAACAACTGGTTATTGAAGTAACGTTTGTATGTTATATAATACAAACTGTAAACATAGCATATATCAAATAACACAAATATATTTATGTGTATTAATGCCACGCTTAAAGCTCGTAGTGTATAATACATTCGTTAGTTCTGCACAACATATCCATATTCATTGACTATATAATAAACTTCTCATACATTTTATTGTATTGTGAAAAATTTCGAAAATTAATGCACCTATTTTCACATGGTGGCTTAGGGTCATTATAAGCAAACACCGACCACAACCATATTTGGGACCACAACCATAGCGCGATGTATGGCAAAGCTAAATCTATAAAATTGTACAAATGCTGGTTTTCGTGCTGAAGACGGACATTTATTTTACACTGCATACTGTATACATAACCTAATCAATGCTTTCATTAGTAGTGCACAGTGTTTTATAATTATTGAAAGCACTGATTAGGATATGTATACAGTTTGCAGCGTGAAGTGTCCGTTTTCTGCGTGAAAACCACCAATTATGAATATAAATATATTTAAGCGTGTTTGTAAAATGAGTTTAATTTCAATAGCTACTGTATAATGAGTTTTAATTTTTGAAAACTTACTTGAATAACTCATTATTAGTATATAAAAATCATATAGATATTATATATTATAAATGAGATAATACAAATTTTTTGTATACCAATTAATATGTGGAACTTATGGCTAATTTTATAGAAACTGATCAGATATGATATAATGCTATGTGAGTTATGGGAATATTTTTCATTTTCAACATAATTATGATGCTCTAAATATAATTATCTGTTATTGTTAACAAACAGTATATTTAGTAGCATGCAGTTGTGTGAGAATTGAACATGTTTTAATTAGAGACAGCTATTGCAATTAATTTATCGGGTTAATTTTATTCTATGCTAGTATAATTTATCCCAACGTATGTCATAAATAATTAAAATTTTGTTTTAATGTTATTAAGGATTAAATGTTTAGGATTATTAAGGATTTATTATTATTTAAGTATTTATTTTTAAACTTTAAAAATTATTAGTTAAAAAATTTAAAACAAAAAACACTCAATAAAATAAATTAGTACATATTATTAATCAAAATTAATTATCAAATACACACTTGTTGATAAACATACTTCATTATGTTTCAATTTGCCAAATATTATCAAAAATAACTTATTTTTGTATCAATATCAATTTTATAAAATAAGTACTCACTTAACTACTTAAAATAAAAGTTTTATTAATCCGGTTAGATTACAATACAAGGACAAATGCACTACATAACCCTGAAAGAAAAAGTATAAAACTTATGGCATAAATATTTATTAGTAAAAATATCCATAATAAACTTTGTGCGAAGTAAAATGAAGTCGCTCATTTTAGTCGCCCTTGCAATTCATGCCATTAGCGCCGTTGATTGGATACCGGGCCGAGGGGCACAGGTAGCATTTGTGGAAGTGGAGGCCGAGCACGCAAACCACAATGGTCAGTTAATCGGTAACGACAGGCACTATGGGCAATTATCATCTGAGGCAAGTCAACGTCGGGCGGTTACCCTGAACGCCGGGGGCCAGTACGTTGAGTTCACCATGCCCATTGAGGCCAACTCGGTGGTAGTCCGATATAGTATCCCGGACACTGGCTCGGGCAAAGATCACGAGATACGCGATGCCGATATAGACCTGTACGTAGGCGGTGCTAAACTGAAACCGCTGACATTTACGAGCAAGTACAGTCACTGGTACGGTAGCTACCCGTTCAACAACAACCCCGGCAGTGGTAATGCGCATCACTTTTACGATAGCGTACGCACGCTATTAGATAAAACGTACCCGAAAGGCACCAAGGTGAAACTACAAGTGTCCGACACGGGCAAGTCACCAACGTTCACTATTGATCTAGCTGATTTTGAGCTGATCGGAGCTCCCATCGCACAACCATCCGGTTCCTTGTCGGTCACCGATGCAGCCTATGGGGCCGATCCGACCGGTAAGACTGACTCGTCGAAAGCGTTTCAAAAAGCAGTTGATGATGGGGCTACTCAAAAGAAAACTGTGTATATACCCCAGGTGAGATAGTTTTGAAATTTTCTTGTTCTTTTCGACACTGTTATTAATATGCTAATTTAGTCGCTTAGTAAAAAACTTTTCCATTTAGGCTTATCATACTTAATAAAATTTTAAAATATATTTTCAAGTGTATATAATTTACTAGTATGTGAGATGCAAAGTCTTGAAAAGCTAATATATAAATACTATATTTCAGACTGAAATCCATTTAGTATTTGATTTAATATCATATAGGTACCAGTATATTATAATTTGTATATTATGTGAAGGGTTATAAATTTTATAAAAATAGCAAAGTGCAAACTGTTATTAATGCCAAAATGTATTAAAGTATTTGTTTAATACATTTCTTAATTGAATTGTTGGTATACACATACCTGTACTACAACTTTAGTAAATTATTTCAATATTCTAAAATCAATAAGTAACATACCAATACAAGTAGTTATAATTATTATAATTTATAATCATAATTTTCAGCATACTACTTAACAAATTTTCGTTACAAATTATGTATAAAAATAAAACTCTAATAAGTCTTTACTATCCCATCAGGGTACTTACATGATCTACGAGCACGTTATTGTAGACGGCGTTACACTAACAGGTGCGGGTCCATGGTACTCCGTACTCGGCGGTAGGCACCCAACAGATCGTAGTAAAACGTGCGGTGTGTACGGCAAATACGTTGAGCAAGGTGGCAGCAAAAATGTGCACTTGTCCAACTTTGCCATTATTGGTGACATTAGGGAGAGGGTCGACGAGATTCAGACAAACGGAATAGGAGGTGCCCTCACCGATACTGTCATTGACAATTTATGGTTACAACACGTTAAAGTAGGTGCATGGTTAGATGGAAAAATGGACAACCTGGTCATCAAAAACTGTCGCATCGAGGATACCACCGCAGATGGGGTAAACTTTCATAAGGGGGTGACCAACTCGATCGTACAAAACACGTTCCTCCGAAATACCGGCGACGATGGGCTAGCCATGTGGGCAGAACAGTACCCGAACGTCAATAATAAATTTATCAATAACACCATGGGCATTCCTGTTTTGGCTAATAACATAGCAATTTATGGCGGTAAAGATATCGAAGTGTCCGACAATTTGGTGTACGACACAATCTCGAATGGCGGTGGCATTCACATTGCTAATCGTTACCCAGGGGTTCAAGGCCCTACCGGGGTTCTCGGCCACCACAAGGTCTACAGGAACACCATGTTGAGGGCGGGTAACGCGGATTACAACTGGAACTTCGGCATCGGTAGCATTTGGTTTAGCGGGCAAAACGAGGAAATTAAAAACGCGACGATCGAAGTGAAAGATTGCGACATAATTGACGCCTCATACTCGGCAATAATGTACATCGAGGGCAAAACGAACGGGGTAACATTCGACAATTTGTCGATTAACGGAACGGGCACGTTCGCGCTACAATTGCAAGCGGGTGGCGAAAATGTTATTAAACATTGTATTATCAGAGAGAATTGCAAGTAAGCATAGTTTACAAAGAAAAGTGGTTCTAAAAATATAAGGCTATATGCCATACATTAACAAAAATGATCTACAGCAATTACTAATGTTATATGTATTAGTGTCTGGGCTCTGTAGCCCATGAATGTTAATCTATGCCACATGCCTTAGACATTAACTATTAAGAATATTATATTTAGAACATCCTTGACATAGGAGTAAATAAAAAAATCATTAATGTTACTACATTTATACACTTTAATAATTAAAATTAGTAATTATGATCATAAGCTAAATTACTTTTTATAAACACATTGTTACCCACTGCATTGAATTTCATAGTCAAATATAGACGATTAACATTGAATCTACCAAATTAATGTTTTATTCAAAAAACTAAAATCATTAACAAAAGTAATATAACATAGAAATCTAATAATTATGATTTAATACATAATACATACATAATATGTATTATATATATACCACCAAGTTATTTATAAGCAATACAATATTTTACTTTAAACTTAATTTTATTTTAATATAAACTTTTATATTAAAATATTACATTTCACAATGAGTACGAGATGATATTGTCGAAAATAGGGTGCCCAACTGTTTACCAATTCCAGGGCCACACCGGTTTAAACGATACAATATCTTGACACAAAGGCTTGTCTGTATACCACCCGGTTTTCGTGCCCTCCACGTGCTCTACAAATGCTTCGCCAACACAACTAAAAATGGGCACTGGTTGTTGCACGTTTATCGCTTTGACATTTTTAAATGTAGCATCGCCACCCGCTTGCAATTGTAGCGCGAACGTGCCCGTTCCGTTAATCGACAAATTGTCGAATGTTACCCCGTTCGTTTTGCCCTCGATGTACATTATTGCCGAGTATGAGGCGTCAATTATGTCGCAGTCTTTCACTTCGATCGTCGCGTTTTTAATTTCCTCGTTTTGCCCGCTAAACCAAATGCTACCGATACCGAAGTTCCAGTTGTAATCCGCGTTACCCGCCCTCAACATGGTGTTCCTGTAGACCTTGTGGTGGCCGAGCACCCCGGTAGGGCCTTGAACCCCTGGGTAACGATTAGCAATGTGAATGCCACCGCCATTCGAGATTGTGTCGTACACCAAATTGTCGGACACTTCGATGTCTTTGCCGCCATAAATTGCTATGTTATTAGCCAAAATAGGAATGCCCATGGTGTTATTGATAAATTTATTATTGACGTTCGGGTACTGTTCCGCCCACATGGCTAGCCCGTCGTCGCCGGTATTTCGGAGAAACGTGTTTTGTACGATCGAGTTGGTCACCCCCTTGTGGAAGTTTACCCCATCAGCTGTAGTATCCTCGATACGACAGTTTTTGATGACCAAGTTGTCCATTTTACCATCTAACCAAGCACCTACTTTAACGTGTTGTAGCCATAAATTGTCGATGGTGGTATCGCTGAGGGCACCTCCTATTCCGTTTGTCTGAATCTCGTCGACCCTTTCCCTAATGTCACCGATAATTGCAAAGTTGGACAAGTGCACATTTTTGCTGCCACCTTGCTCAACGTATTTGCCGTACACACCGCACGTTTTACTACGATCTGTTGGGTGCCTACCGCCGAGTACGGAGTAC